CGACCACTAGAACTCTGAAAATCATAGGGAGAAAGTCTTGAAATCTCACTTTTTTTTTTCTCTCCAACGTTCAGACCAGCAGAGAACCCACTGGTTTCAGTAGAAAGATCTCTCAAAAAATCAGATTTTTGACCCCTATTTATAATTTTAAAGTTTGGCCCACGTTGCGCCACATGCTTCTCATTTCTCGGGTCCGTTTTCGCCCCGAAAAGATTAAATTTTGCTCTGGATCAAACTTAAAATATTTTATTTGAACTTTATTTAAATTATTTAAAAAATTTAGAATTTTTTATTTTTTGAACGTGTTTGAGGTCACCTGACACCCGTCGCCTCAAAAAACGTGAAAAATCTGACTATCTCAGAATTTGATGAAAATTGTCTGGGTAACAAGATTTCGCGAGACGAATCCAACGGTGAGGTCCATTTCATCATTCAAGCTCTAGAGAAATACGGGTTTTCAACTCGCACTATAGTGATGAATTACCATTTTGCTCTTTTTAAGAAAAAAGTTCAATTTTACCCGGGTTTTACACAAAGAATGAAATTAATATAAATATATTAATTATTCTTCATAAAGAAAGAAGTAGAAGAGTTCTAATTCAAGCTAAATTAGAAAGAGTTTTAATTTGAGATGTTACTTGTAGTTAGTATCAAATGCCTACAACCGGGTATGATTAAACCTATAGGGTCACACCCAATAAATTTGATTGAAAACTAAATGATAAAAGAGAGACAACTAATTAAGAGTTAATTAAGGTGAAAATCTAATTAAGAGTTAATTAGGGACTTTATTATAATTAATGTTAATAAAAGGGTTATATATAATTATGAGATAATTGTAACTTGACCCAAACTAGGATTAGAGCCTTTAAAGCTCTATAAATACCTTTATATAGGAGGTAGATATAAGATATAACAACTCTCTTGCTAGCACAAAAAGAACCACCCCTCATTTTCTCGCTCTACTTGTTTATCAATAGTTGAAGTAGATCTTTCAAGTTTGTCAATTCGTGTGGATACTGATAAAGGCCAAATATTTGTGAGGCTTAGGGTAAAAATCAAATTCAGATTTGAAGATTTAAAGTTTTTGAGAATGCTTAAAGATTGTTAAAGGCGCGCTTCAAGAGGTAACCTTTAATCTTCTCTATAGATTTAAGGTTTTTCGGTTTGTATTAAACATGAATAGATCTCGGTATGAGTACTCAAATTATTAATTTTAAATTTTGCTACATTTATTATATGATTCCTTTTAGTTGGTATTGATGCCAATGATTCCATAATAGTATTTGACTTTGAGATGCAACTAGTTAAAGAAGAAGATGAAAAAGTTTTTTAGTGGTTGGCCAATGAACTACCAAGGTACTGGAGTAGGTCACATTTTAGAGTAGAAACCAAGTGTGACATTTTGTTAAACAATATATGTGAGATCTTTAATGGGGCACTTGTAGATGCAAGGGGTTAAGCCCATCTTGGAAACGCTAGAATGGATTAGATGCTACTTAATCCAAAGAATGGTAAAGATGAGGGAATGGGCTAGGAGTTATAGTGGAGATATATGCCCTAAAATTCAAAAGAGGTTGGAGAAATGGAAAGGTTACAATTTTGCTTGTATTGCTGATTTGCATGGTAAGTTAAAATTTAAGGTAAGGTGTATGAATGAAGATCAATATTGTGTTGATTTGAAGGAGAAGACATGCTCATGCAGAAAATGAGACTTGACAGGAATCCCATGCCTACATGCCATTACTTCTATTTAGAATAGGGGTCAACAACCAAAAGACTATGTTACTAGACATTACAAGAAAGAGGCATTTATGCAGGCATATGAACCAATTATCAACCCAATTAATGGACATAAAGATGTGGCCTAAAAGTGGACTTACCCTAGTATTGCCTCCATTGAACAGGAGACAACATGATGGGCCAAAAAAACTATGGAGAAAGAAACCAGATGAGGTGAGTAATAAACAACAACCACATAAGTTGAGGAAAATTGGGGAGGTGTCATTTAAGTGTCGGAGATGTGGTAAGAATGTGCATAACAACAGGACATGCACTACTGTATTGACAAAAGGAGGAGGACTACAAGTTAGAGGAAACTAGTCTGAAGGGAGTCAAGCAGTTGTAGGGAGCCAATTAGTAGTAGGAAGCCAAGCAGTAGCATGAGGGAATCAAGCAGCTGCAGGAAGCCAATCAGTAATAAGAAGCCAAATAGTAGTAGGAAGCCAAGCATTAGCAAGAAGGTCTTGCTTTGAATAGCTTCAAGCTTCAACCACTAGAGCAAATTCAAATTCTAGAAATGCAACTAAAGCCTTCATCATTCAGATTCGAAGGGAAAAATTGTCATTTAGAATGAGTAAATCAATAAGCAGCCATGTTGTATGATGTGCAACTTTTATTTTTTGAGTACAATGAATATGTGTAACTCTCTTTTGGGTTTGTAATGAGAGTTAACATCCATGTTGTATGATGTGCAACTTTTGTCTTTTGGTAGAATGAATATGTGTAACTCTCTTTTGGGCTTGTAATGAGAGTTAACATCCATATTGATATAATTTGTAATATTGGGTTTGTACTGAGTTAGTAATATAAGCGTAAGAAGCTGCCATGTTGCTCTGTTTTTTGGGTTTGTACTTGGTTTCAACTGTTTGTACTTAGCCTATTGGGTTAATAATATAAGTAACAAACAACCATGTCTATTGAATGTTGAAATCGGTACTCAAAGTTACATGGAATATCAACATTTCACATTCCACCAATTAAGCATTCTACAAAACAGAAGTCATATTTATACATAATTAAGCTCTATTACATAGAAAACATCAACCTAGTATAGAAGCTACACATGTTTCTAGCTTCACAAAGTCTAGTTACATGAAATACAACACCCAAGTGAGAATGAAAATTGTCCATGAAGAAAATAGAGCAACCCATAAAATTTTCTCCATTTTCTTTGACAGTCGTTGTTGGTCGTCGTGTCTTTGGAGAGATCGCAAAAGTCCAGGTATCGCATGCTTCGATCTATCGCACATTGGAGGATCATACCAAACAAAAAATCCACAACCTCCAACTTCCTAACAATGCTATACTTTGCTAAAAAAAATCAAATGTTCACACAAAACTAACAAATGAAATAAAAATAAGGATTACCCAATATCTCTCACACCCAATAAACCTTCTTCCTTGGTTTGTAGCAGTCCAAGAAGTTCGCATTTTGCCCATTCCCCTATAGTAGCATGGTGTTGCCTTATTTACATGAATTTCGTCTCTCACGTTTTCCTTTTTCTTCCCCTTTTTTCCTCATTTCTCTTCTTCTTTCTGGTTTGAGATGTTCTGTTTGTTTGCTTTGCTTGTTGGACAGGCTATAACGTGGCCTTGAAGTTAGCGGGAATGATTCCCTCCAAGACCAAGTAGGGTGCAATGTCCAATTTGCCCTTCACGTGGATGGTACATGGAGACGGAGATGGCAAAAAACAGATGGCATCTATGGTTGAGATCTAAATAAATCAAAGTGAATACTTTAGGGATCAATTTAATGCAATTAAAATATTAAAGATTAAAATGAGACAAAATAAATAATTTAGGGACCACCAATGCAAATAATTAAAAAAAAAAAAAGGAACGATGGGGGAATTAATTAATTATTAGGGTAAAAGACACCAATAGTCCCTAAGGTTTGACACTTATTACACTTTTATATCTAAACTTTTAATTTCGTCAATTTCATCCTCAATGTTTATACATTGACCTACTTTGGTCCTTACTCCTAACTTTCATCCAAAAAATTAACGGAAAATGTCATGTGCCAAGCATATGAGAGTATTAAGGGACATTTTAGTCATTATACTCTCAAAACTTTGGGCATAAATGTAAAAATAAAATAGTCTCACAAAAAGAAAAAAAAAATTGCCTTCTCTCTTCTCCAACCCACCTCTCTGTCTTCTCTGACTCATCTCTCTCTCTCTCTCTCTCCAGCCAGCGACCACCCCATCTCTCTCTTTGCGTAGGACTCCATAGCTGGAATCGAGCTCTATCATCCACCACCATTGGAATTGAGCACCACACCCACCACCGCTGGAATCAAGCTACACCATCCACCACCGTTGGAATCAAGCGCCACCACCCACCACTACTAGAATCAAGGGCCACCATCCACCACTGCTAGAATCGAGGTCCACCACTACTGGAATTGAGCTCCATCATCCACTACCACTGGAATCGAGTGCCACCACCCACCACTGTTGGAATCGATTGCCACTGCTGGAATCCATCTCATCTCTCTTTCTTCTGTTCTCTCTCTTTGCTCTCTTATATACTTGACACCTCACACACAAATACAGTACACACTCTAACTACCTGAGCAGGCTCCCACTGTCAATCACTCCACCCCTAAAAATCTTTTTGATTTTTGTTTCATTTTTGGTTTTGGTTTCGATGTCGATTTTGAATTCAAACTTGATTTCGAAAGCATTAGGGCTTGATTGCCCATCGAGGTCTTGGAAAATCCAGTTTTGAATCCATGCAGGTGTATGTGATTGTGGATTTGTTTTGTGGATATGTATTTGTGGGTTTGTGTTGTAGATGTGTATTTGTGATTTTTGTGTTGGGTTTGAGGGTAGAGATGCAGTAACAAGCAACAAGAGAGCAGAGAGGGAGAGATGTCTGTGTGTGATGAAGAGAGAACTCAGAAGGATTTATGCGTGTGTGAGGAGAGAAAGGAAAAAAAATGTGCGTGTTTGTGTTTGAAAGTATAAATAGTTGTAAAATATCAAAAATGTCCCTTAATACTCTCATGTGCTTGACACATGACATCTTTTGTTAGTTTTTTAGACAGAAATTAGGAGTAAAGACCAAAGTAGGTCGATGTGTAAATATTGAGGACAAACTTAATAAAATTAAAAGTTCATAAAATTTAAAATTTAAGGATAAAAGTGTAATAAGTATCAAACCTTTGAACCATCGATGCCTTTTACCCTAATTATTAAGTAAAACGCATAATTGTCCTCTGGCTCTCTCTTCTCGCGCTCTTCCAAAGAGGGAGAAACGCAAAGAGAGAGAGAGAGAGAGAGAGAGAGAGGCTGGCATAGGGCACCACCACCTCTTTGGAAAGACAGACTGATTTTTCTTCTAATTCTCCGTCGTACTCATTGATCCTTCTGAGGTGTACAAAAGTGACCCCACCCACCACCAGTATTTGTCACAGAGAGAGAGAGAGAGTTGTATCTGATTCTGATCGGATTACAAACTCAGATTTGTGAGGACGGGCTCGATAGGATATGCAGTTTGTTGTTTCCAATTGCGACAGTCTCTTCCTCTTTGACTCTTCTCCTCGTCGATCGATCTGGAATTAGGGATTTCCCAGAGAATCATCGCCCCATCTGATTCAAAAGGCTCTTCCACGGAGTTTCCACCTCCAAGGTAATAAATATCTCCATCCATTTATAACAATCATTTTCTTCTTTTGTTTTCATCGCCCATTGTTGCTTCGTGGAAATATTACGATGATAATCTGCCTATCTTGATATGTTCTTGAGCTGACAAAGTTTGGTTGTCGTTAGGGCCAGGGCTAGGGTTAGGTTTAGGCTTAGGACATCAACGCGAATGGAAGCGTCCAGTGGTAACACGGACGCGTACAGAGGTTCATCCGCCACTACTAATAATTCTAGAAGATACGGAATGCATTTCTCTGCGTCCAATTTTTTCCACTCACCGGTATCTACATTTTTGGAATACACGGGCATTCTACGGACACGTTCCAATCATCCAGAAACGGATAGTTTGATAGGCAATGGGGTCTCTGTTGGTTTTCGGGATCGCATTCCTACCCGCTCAGTTGATTCTGCGGCCACAGGGAATGGTGGGGAGGTTTCCATTAGGATTATTGGTGCCGGTGAACCAGAGCAGCATGATAGGGTTGGGGCTGTATTGCCTTCTCCAACACTTGGGCCTGTCCGAGAGGGTGCGTCCCAGAATGAAGTACTTGTCCAGCCAATTTCGCGAATAGCATCCGCGGCATCAGTGGCATCGGCATTCGAGGGTCAGGCGGATTCTAGGAGTGAACGCGGGACTGCAGAGGGTGGTTCTCAGTCAATGAATGGCAATGTTGATGTGGAGGCTGCGGATGGGGTTGGGGTGAATAACAGGGATTCTTCTTACCAGAGATATGACATACAGCAGGCTGCGAGGTGGATCGAGCAAGTTCTTCCGTTCTCTTTGCTTCTGTTGATCGTTTTCATCCGGCAGCATTTGCAAGGTATTCTCATCTCAGCTTCATTTCTTAAATAGCTATTTTTGTTCTTAAGTAACACACGCTTTCATCATCCTATAGCAGTGCAAAACTTGTTGGACATGTATTTTGGAACCTTAGTTTATGTCCCAATTCAAGTGAACCTCAGGATTCAGTGAATGGCTGCTGCATTACGAATTTCTGTTGCAGGTTTCCTTTTTTAGAAAGGACGGAAGAAATTGAACCTATGTCTTTCAGTTTTTATTTTCGGGATTGAAGTTGAATAAGAGTTCTAGTTCAGGAAATTTTAAAACTAATTCTATCTTGGTGGATTTTTTTCCAGCTTATTTCTATAATATGGGTAATCGTAGATGGTAATGGTTGCTATGCCCATGAACTAGATCAAATTTCCAAATTTGAGAAAATAAGGATTATAACATAAATGGAGTGTATCTTGCTACATGTCTTGCTTTCCTGCATCCAATGTGTGTATATAGGGTCTTTCTCCCTGTTTCGTCGGCGACTCTTGTGAGCATCTTTTTGTTTACTCATATAATAGTACAACGTTTAGACTGATAAACTTAGTCTTATGGTGGTATTAAGTGATCGAGTTAATCTATTGAATAAGATTTTTCGAGTTTTGATTCTTGTGCCTTTTGTTTGGGCCAACCTCACTAGAGCCCAGCTTTCACCATCTTTTGTCAGCTGACTTCATATGATTTCTTTAGCTAGCCAGTCTTGATTAGTTGTATTCTGGATTTGCTGTTTCACCAAATCACTTGAATTAAGTATTCTGTGAGTGTTTTTTTTTTCAACCCACAACATGGTTTCATAATGTAAGAAAAGATTTTATGGTTTTTTTTTTCTTTTTGTGCATTTCTATAAGCTTTTCTATGATGCATGTCTGAAGATGCTTCTTCCCGAATTTTGAGCATAAGCAAGTTTGTTTGTGGATCAGCAATATTATAAATTTTCAGTTGAAAAATAGTTTTTCAGCTATTATTGTTTTCTTTAGGCAATTGACTTGAATTGCCCCAAGGACTTGCAGGTTTTTTTGTTACAATTTGGGTAGCTGCAGTTATGTTCAAGTCGAATGATGTTCTGCGGAAGCAAACAGCTCTGAAGGTGCTGTTAAATGTTCTCTTATATTTTGAACTATTTTTAATACTTTTTTTTTTAGCTAAAAGCCAGTTTGAATTCTGTTTGCTTTATTATTAGGAAAAATGGGCCATTAAGCAAAAAATGGTTGGTGTATGCAGGGTGAGAGGAAGATAGCTGTTCTTATTGGCATATCTCTTGTGTTCATGCTTCAAGTGTCTGGGGTTTACTGGTGGTATCGGAATGACGAACTTTTGTATCCCTTGGTCATGCTACCTCCGAAAGCTATACCTCCTTTTTGGCATACTATTTTCATTATTATGGTCAATGGTATGTTCTTGTCACCAAGTGTTTTAAGTTGCTGATATTAATAAAAACAGGTTATTACAATTGGTACAGTCCCTGAGGCAATTTATACCTTAAAATAGTAGACACATTTTTTGTTGTTAATGTATTTATTTCATCATACCAGCCTTCAACCGTCGTTCTGTTCACTTCTCTATGTGATTGTGAGAAGCGGGTGGAGCCTTAGTAATTTGTGTTGTGCGTACTTTCTATTAGAAAAGAACAAAAAAAGCATCATAACTTGTCAGGCATCAAATATTCACATTTTGCCATCAATTTCTTTTACTCAACTCAACCCTCTCTCTCTCTCGCCCCCTCCCCTCCCTTTTTTTAAGAATGTAATTCATGTTTTGGCACCTTGGGATAATTTTTAGCCTTGGTTTGGTTCAGATACTTTGGTTCGTCAAGCAGCAATGGTACTCAAGTGCATCTTATTAATGTATTACAAAAATAGCAGAGGCCTGAATTACCGTAAGCAGGTGAGGTAACATGGAACTTTCCAATTAGGCTTCCATATAATGCATCATAGTTGTCTTCTCGAATCTGATTGCTCTCTGACTGTGCACTTGTTTGTATTATAGGGTCAGATGCTAACTTTAGTCGAGTATCTGCTGCTTCTGTACCGTGCCTTGTTGCCAGCTCCAGTTTGGTATCGTTTCTTCTTGAACAAAGAATATGGGAGCCTTTTCTCATCACTAATGACTGGGTTGTATTTGACTTTCAAGCTTACCTCTGTTGTTGAGAAGGTATGGTTTTCTGGTGATATGCATTCTATGTCATTCAGCTTTTTATCTTTGCGTAGTTTGTATTCTCCTTGTGATTTCTGATATAGTGACAAATACAGTACATTTGTGCATGGATCTTATTTTTTGTTTTCTTCAACATCTGCTTGGTTGTATTTTCAGGTGCAGTCCTTTTTTGCTGCTTTAAAGGCATTGTCTCGTAAAGAGATTAATTATGGAGCTTATGCAACATCTGAGCAGGTAGTTTGATTTCTATTTTTCTACCATCGTTCTAAGGTTTTTCCGAGTTTTGCCATATCTTCATGCTAATTATTTGTAGTTAAAATACTTTGATGTGTGTCATTAATGTATTTGTTATATATGAAGTAATCAAGATACTTCTGTCAAGACCCTTGTTTATTAATTCAAATCCAGAAGTTGAAATAAAACATTAGGCCCATTCATGTTTTGACCCTCCCAGCAATCAGTTTGTTAAAGAAAGCGACTCAGTGACTCATTTGCTAATTTCCCATAGGTAATGCTGTTGATTTTTAACTCATTACACTCTGTGCTGAGTCAAATTACATAAGTGGAGCCATTAGCAATATTAAGACTTGTCCACATGGTTGATTTTTATGTCGCTTTGTGCCTATGGATTGGTTGCTTTCGGCTTTAAGGCTATTCATTCAAGTTTATCACCTCTATGGCTTATTCTCCTCGCATCCAATGTAAGCTAGCTTACTGAGATAAGTTGTGGCTAATGTTGATACAATATCTGCATTGAGTAAAGTTTTTGCTGGAATACTTGTGGTCTAGTGAATTCTAGTAGGACACACAAACTAAGGCTTTTAACCTTTGTTTGGCTCAGAGTTCTTAGCACTACTGTGGTTGCTCATGGATTGTTACCTAACCTTAATCTTTGATGGACCCTTTCTAAATTTGAAGAAAGATTGCCTTCATATGAAATGCAAAACATCAGGGGAGCAGAGTATGAGTTCCTGGTTGGGTAAAATTGTTGAGTTGCTCTTGCATCTTGTGTTTAGATAGTAAATTTGATTTAGTAAGTAAGGGAATTGGTATCAATTATTATTTTTTAATTTCCTTGATTGATGCACTTTATGGCAAACGTGGCTCAACAGTGTTTACTATTTTATCCAATGTGGACTGTTGTGGTGCATGAAACAGGATTGGTGACACCGTATACGATACACTACTTATTCCAAAACGCCATACACTAGAAAATAGTTAGAATGTGTTGTTTTTGGTCTTACTGTAACAGAATTGGAACAAAAAAATGTAATAGTGGATGATTAATGAGAAAATCATACAGTTAGAGTGCACAAGCTCTCTTTTGCTTCTTGAAATATGTTGTACAGTGAATTCATTTCTAAAATAAAGAGAAAGTGCATCATATATTTAAGTTATTTGTACATGTCGTCCTTTTTTCAAAATTCACATGAAAAACATCATATGATGAGATTTTTGTCATCATCTAATGTTGCTTGGTATCAAGATGAAATATTGAGTACATTGGGTTACATAGAAAGTTCACCGTGCTTGAAATGACGTGCTCAAACGCAACTAGCTAGGATATTTTTTTTCTCTTTCGGAACTTCTTTTTGAGCAGTGCTTGATTATGAGCCTTAATGGGTGGCTCAATGAATAATTTTTCTTCCATTTCCTGATGTCTATGTGGTTATTTCACTTGAGAATCTAATACCACTTCCTTCTTAGCCTTTTTGCTGGTATTGCCTTTGAGTAAATCCTCTGTTCTCATTTAGCATTGGCCAAACAGATTACTTTAATTCACTGTATCATTGATTGGTTTTGTGAACTCTAGTCCTTTGTCTAATTTGTTTCGGCATTCTGCTCTGTCTACCCTCTGCACATGGGCATGTTGCCCAGCATTCTATATTAAGATAATTTTTGAGATCCTTTTTGTGGCTACTCTCTTTCCCTCCCATCCACCAATTCACACAAACACAAACATATATACGCGTGCTCACACGCATAAGCACATACACATTTTATATTATAGTGCACTAAGGTCGGTGCCTTTTTACAAATAATACCTTGCAACATCCTCTATCACGTCTTCTTGAGAATTATTTTGTAAAGCTTATTTTTCTGATAATTGAATTTGTTAAGAAGTTTGAAAAGGTTTGGTTGTTTAATGATTGTGACCTTTCTCCACGAGGATGTTGTACAGGAAAGTTAGTATGACAACATTTTTTTGATGTCTTGACTATTTGTTAATTGATGGGTGTAGATTTTTTTTCTTGGAGCAAGTTTTATTGTTTTGAAGATATTTTTTGTGGAAATATCTAACAAAGTTATTGATGCATTAAGTTGAATTTGATCTGATGCAGGTTAATGCGGCAGGAGACCTTTGTGCTATTTGCCAGGAAAAAATGCATTCACCAATATTGCTTCGTTGTAAACATATTTTTTGTGAAGACTGTGTATCGGAGTGGTTAGTTTCTGCCTTTTGGTTTAATGTGATATCTTGAATTCTGTTAGTTAACCACTTCTTGCTTTCATGCTGTTGCTGCTTCTGTCCGGCTTAAATTGTAGCCATGTCCTTGTATGTCTCATTATGTGTGTCCATCGTGATAATTAAAAACATGAAAGTGATAATTAAAAACATTAAATTTCACACTTGACCACAAAACCACGTTTTCAATAAGTTAATATGTGAATCATCAATCATGTCAAATAATGGAGGGGTGGATGAAGTGTGTATATGGTCAGAATAGTCAACCAAGACTAGGTTAACCTGAAAATTGGAAGCGTCACTGTTGTATTTTTGGGTATTTGATATATAGATTTATTTACTCAGAAAATGTAGGGATAGGATTCCCATGGAAAGCTGGTAATTTTACAGACAACATTCGACAACCAAATTGCCGACCTAAGTCCTGACAATTGAGTTCTCCCTAGAATTAAACGTAGACTTAGTTTTTGATGTGCGTGTAAGCTTTTATTTGAGGCATTAACAATATCTGCTGATTTTTTTCTTTAGATTTTGTTAACAGTCATTTAGACCTTGGTTCTTGTAGCAAAGGGTATTGTAGTGGTAGTTTTAAGCAAAAGGCATGGATGTCCCAAATTGTTTCATTTCTACATCTGAAACTTCCAAGTGTATACAACTTTATGAATATGGTCCAGAGCTTATTCCCAAACAGCTTAAGCTTTTGAGGCAATTGATAGTCAAAGTTATAGCAGAAGGGGAAACATGAAAGAGTGACTACCTTTGAGCAAAACACCCCCTCAATATAGGGATTGTTGGCAGCAAATGGTCGTGTTTCATTGCATGTTTCTGTTCTTCTAAAGCAAAGTTCCGTTTACATGATGGCATCTGATGGGTGGCTAATTCCATCTCTGGTGTGAGGCACAATTCTTTTTCGTGATTATATTCCTTTAGCTGGTTTTCTTGCTGGTATTTTTTTTTTCCACAGCTTTTGTGCTTAAGATTGTGTTAGATTGCTGATGGCATTGTGTTTCCAGGTTTGAGAGGGAAAGGACATGCCCATTGTGCAGGGCTTTGGTGAAACCTGCAGATCTTAGATCATTTGGCGATGGATCCACCAGTCTGTTTTTTCAGTTATTCTAAAATTGCTAGCAGTTAAAACCAGGAAGTTTAAGCTTCAATCCGTGTTCAAAGCAGCTGTGTCTTGATCATCTCATCGACAAGGGAATCTTTCTGCATCTGCAGTGCCAAAGGAAATCAAATTATAGTGGTTTGGTAGAACTGAACTGGCCATCTGTTCATATGTTGTATGGAAAAAGTTAATGTATGTAATGCATCAATGAAGCTGCAAGAGTTGCAACTGTTCATCTGGTATAAATGAAAGCCTTTTGAATAAATAACTTTTTTTTTTTATCCTTGTGAATCTTTATCATGTTTGGGTTTCAAAAAAAGGGATCCGGATTTTATGCAAGCTGCACTGTTTGTGACAACAAGACCGACAGAAAAATGCTCTCAGCGAATGGCTTAGTTCACCAAATTTCACAGTACAAAAATGTGGATGATGCAAACGCTGTACCCGGGGGTCGTTTAAACTCAAAAGTATTGACATGCAGAAATGTACTTAAAAAGGCATTCGCCTGTTCGTATTCGTGTTTATTTTATAACTAATCAGGCATTGGTGGTTTCCTTCCTCCACGTTCTTTTCTTCGGTAAAAACGAAAAAGCATGAATACCTAGACCCACGTTAAGAAAGGGTATATAAGTTTAACAGGTTCACGAGGAAGGGATTCAACTTCCTGACAAGAAAAGCTCAATCTATTTGGTTGGTTCTGTAGTTCATCCGGGAGATGCCTAATTTGGTCGACACCACCCCACTCATTGCGATGTATCCTGTAACATGTTTACAGTTGAGGTTGGCATGAATCGGGTTGGCTTCTTTCCAGACTTACTCCATTGGTCAGAAGTGGAAGCAGGTTCAACTGGGAAACAAGAGCATAAAGTATGGCTGAACTTACAAGTGAGCTAATTTCATTTGTACCAGAATGAGCAGGGCATAAAAGAAACTGGAGCATTTCCAGAAACTGTGGTTCACCGTGTGCCATGGGAACAAAACATCAGTCTCTTGCCTCGTTTTAATATGTTTTAACTAACTTGTTTTTCAAGACCAAATTGTTATGATTATTATAGTATGTTTTGTTTTCTAAATCCAAACTAAATTCTTACTTTTTTCCAGAGGAGGAAATGCTAAAGTTTTAATTGCTTGAAATGGTTCTGGTAACAAAAACTGCTTGAAATGGTAGCATTTGAAGATAAAATACCCCTTTTTCAAGGATTATTATCCTCTGTCATCAAATGGAGTTTCATTACGAAATACACTGGTGGGATTAAAAAAAAAACAGTTCTCAAGTTCATACAAGATAACAGTAAACACAATGGTCCTACATCATACCAGACACTGCCGCAACCGCACAGCTATCGTAGGATAGTCTGTGTCTGCAATATAAGATTATTATTATTATGATAAAAGTGGTGCCCAGATAAAATATGGCTTTGGTAACCTTCATCAGTCAACATCAGATGCCAAACTTGCACTTTTTTAAGAATTCATGAGAAAGTCTATGTCCATGAATACATTAGCTCTTTTGATACCTTAGTTTGCATTTGACAGAAGAATGTTCGAAAACCAGAACAGCCCAAAAAGCTAACTTACAGTTTCGTGCAGGAACCACAAAGAATATAACCGAAATAAAATTCTTAGACTACACCTCTTCAGATTCTACACAATCCCTTGCACGAGTGAAAGGCTACAAAAGGACCAATGTCACTCTCACACAAAAATTTAATGAAAAGAGAGAACAGGACACTCACTTAGGCGTAGGTGACCAAGTGTCTTGTTGAATCTTCTGTTGTGGAAACTGGACTATTTGAACTCGGTGGAGCCTCATTCTGTGGAACATCTGTTATTGCATGTGGCGGGATAGCTTCGTGAAGGATTTCCTTTGTCATCGAAGGGCTTCTAGATGGAGCGATATCTGGAGGTGAGCATGGAGAATGAGGTGAGGGTGGGGAACCAGACTGAGGAGAGGTTGGGGAAGCAGAGAGCATCCTGGAGACCGCAGGAATGGGGTAAACCTCTGTGACCTCTTCAATGCCCTCATCCAGATAGACAACATCCTGCATGGTGAGTTGATGATATTCAACAATCTCCCTCAAGAAACGGTTCTCACGTGCATATACAGAATTCTCATGAGCCAGACGAGCCTTCTCTGCCAAGAGTGTCTCAAGTTGAAGGCGTATCTGACGTTGCAAAGATGTACAGTGAAAAATTATTGATTAATATGTGGTCAAGTCCAGGAATCAAGCAATTTAAGTACAATATATATTGCAAAGAATGAAGGACTAAATAAATGGCCATTTATCTTTTTCTTGAATGTAATATCTGCATGACTGACAATCTAATTTAGAATTATACTTCTTTTATTTGGCTGTTGTTATTGTTTCTCACAACCTGTGTTCACCTGTTTGCATACATTTGAATCTATAATCGCATTATTACCAGGGGCAGGGGCCATTATAAAGGAAAATGACTGATTAAATATTTAACTTTTTTTCATTCTACGCATCTTTGTGTCTCTTTTTTGTCCCCAACACAAAATCACACTAGAATATAGGATAGTTTTCCAAATGTTTTTTTAGGGGGGGGGGGACTTGCCTGCTCCACTAATTAGGGGAGCAATTTGGGCCGCCAACTTGAATTCAACCCGAGTTTAACCCAAAAAAAACAAAGCTTAGGAATACTTGGTTTTGGGCTTGGACAAAAAAATTCCAACCCGAATTAAATTTGGGCAAGACTGAAGCCTTGAGTTGTTGGGTTTAACCTGAATATTAAAATCGGATTGAACCCGAATATACATAAATATATAAATATATTTAATTAGGGTTAATATTTATCTTCACTCTTCAAAGTCCAGACTCACTTCACTTCAAATGTTCACCCATGTGCCTCCATCACTCTTGGATTCCTCTCTCACTTGTCACTCATTTTTCATCTGGTCTTAGACTCTCATTCTCCCTCTCTCACTCGTCTGAGTTTCGTCTCAGACTCTCAGCCTCCCTCTTTACTCGTCATTGCTCTCTCTTTTATTAACTCGAATTAAGTAACTTGAGCCCAACCCAATTTTTAACCTAAAATCAGCCCGAATTAAGCAATTCAAATTCAACCAGAGTCCGCCCGGATTAAACTAGGGCAATACTTGGGTTGAGGTCGGGTTAGGGTTATGGTTAAGGTTATAGATTATATACCTAGGTTGGACTAGGATTGACCTCTGAACCCGCCCAAGTTGCACCCCTTCCCTAAACAGCCATATAATTGGAGGCTGAATGTTCAACACATGTCAATATGGCATCAAAGGATCTGAAATTCTTTGACCATTTGGAATTTGGCTCAAAATGAAAATTTAAAAGAAATTGTCAGTACTTAAAAAATACTTTCTGCATGCTGGGAAAAATATGTACCATGTCATCTTCTGCAGGGTTGTCTCCCTTTTCACAAGCTTCTCGAAGAATTTTATTTTCTTCTTCTAGTTGAGAACATCGTTGCTTTGTGAATGCTAGATCTGCTTTGACAGTTTTCAGCTCTCGGAGAAGAAGTTTTGCTTTGGCAGCTGTAGCCATTGCCACCTGAGGCCCAAAACAAAAGAAAGCAATGCATTTCACTAGCAAAGAGATATAACAAGTATAGAAATAAATATAGATATTCAAGTATTAAATAACATCTATAGGAGGAACTGTATATTCTGTAGTTTTATCAAGTATTAAATAAAGTCCACATAAGTACTGCATGAGTTGTATACTGTCAAGTCTTACCAAATCCAAGTACTTGTAAAAAAAAATGGAACAAAGAGTGCTCCTTAAGGGCTTGATCCATCAGCGACATTGAGTCAAACAAGTATCTAAAAACTAAAACTACTTGTAGTAATAAGTAGTTAAGTTAATCAAATCAATCATAACAATGGAAATAAAGATTATGCATGTATTACCTGCAAGTTTTAAATACTTGGTATTGTTTGTTGGATAAGAGGAGTGATGGTCTAATCACAGTATTCTTATCATGCTGTGTGATTTTGGATTTTGAAGTGTTTACTAACTTGGGAGTAGATTAAAGTATCAAGTATTCATGGTTGCATACGCTCCTATTACATGAACTGGGGATACACAATCACACATTTGCAACCTTACGTCGCGAGATGCCTTGAGTTGGGTTTCATGGTTCGTTTGCATCAGTGATTGTGTGGGGTGCATAGTAGGTTGCTGCCACAGATAATGTATACCGGAGACCTGACTTTGCTCCTCGGAATTGGTTCCTTTTCTCCTGATTTGCAGTTTGCGGGTTTCTTGGAAAATGTCCGCTGTTTTATTCCCCACAATGGTACGTCCTTCCTGAAAATTAAAAGAAGAAAAAATGTTAGAAGCAAAATCGTCTCTGTTTTAAGACTTGATAGTGAACAAATAGCTACTTTGTGACAATTCTACATGTGACATTAAATTACCCCCAGTATAACATTTGTAATTCTACAGCCATAATTCCACTTCTTGATGTCAGTTAAACTTATCTACCTAGCCATTCATTCACCATCTAAACGTATTCTAGTTCAAATCACTATATTAGCCCTATCATTCAGCAGCTAATCTTTCCTGTGTCAAAGATAAAGCACCTATCCGTGGCAAACAATGGAAATGCTAGGAGAGAGATCATCGAGAAACTAAAAATTTCATATTGAGAAAAAAGGGAAGCATGGACGGGACACTGTCATAGAAGAACATATCTTCCAAGAACATATATGGAGCTGAGTAGCATATACAACATTAACTTGCTTAACCTATCACATCAGATACAGACTTGTATCTGTATACTCTTAGCAGCAAAGAGATCACAGAAGGAAAAATATCACTTGACAAAAGTAACATTGCCTTGTACTATTGGTAAAGCAGGTCAACTTGGAATTTTATGTAAATAATTTACCTCCAAGGCATTTCCAATAGTGTCCCCAATGTTATTTAGAGAAGATGTCAGTGCATCCAGGCCCTTACGCAATGTAGGATTGTCCAATTTTCTGGAGCCCCCAGGGGTTTGATATGGCTGATAAAGCTGAATCCAAAGAAGTAATTAGGGGACAACATAACAAATCAAATACTGAAGCACAGAGAAGCGAACGTTACATTTGCCACAGTGTGGCAATTACATGGACAGGAAAAATGGTTTAAATAATATAAAAATACTACGAAGCTTATTTGCCATCATTGTCTTTCCTATTGGCAATTAGATATTCACCTGGCCACTTGTTGAGGTGTGAGGCATCTGTGGCTTCATTCTGCTAGGCATTTCAAATTCTTCAGACAGGTTGTCTTCCTCGAGAATTGCTTTAGCTTTCCTTGCTAGAACACCCCAAAAGCCTCCTGTTTCGTTCTCACTTTTCATCGACGTATAATCATAGGTAGGAGAACCCTATGTTTTCAAATACCACATCAGCAGAAATGAGAACACTGCGACCATATGATATTAACTAGGAAACTTGATATAGCTGAATGGCAAAAAGGATCTGTGTATCTGCCCCAGGTAGTTGAGGTCTGGCTTGGTAAAATCAAGTTAGGGTTAAGACACAGCATGACATAAATTGATACTGAAAATCAACAGGGTTGAAAATTCTCTCTCCATTGGATCAAGAATTTCAAATCTTTGTGCCAAAAAAATTGGCAAACAATAGGATAAAATGAATATTTTCAACACTGATAGACATCAAATAGCTAGTGAAATAAATTCAACAAACAAAACATATGTTATTAATAAAATTCAGCTCCCACTCCATTACAGATTTGAAGTAATAGAGTGCATTTGTTCAATCTCTATTTTCATTCTAAGAATCCTGTAGGGGCCATCTACCGCCAAAACTCCAAGCATCCATCCAAATAGTTGACATGCCACACCTTTGGCCTCCCCTTATTTTAAAAAGAATTGTATGATATACGGCCCACACGGAATCTCGACATGTAATACAACCTTGAAGCTTGTAATTCATAGAGGTGGGTCTTCATATTAGCATTTACCTAGTTATTGCATCTCTGACCTTCCCCTCTCTATCTCTCTGTCTTGCAAAAAATAAATAACCTATGTAGCTCTTCTTCTTTCCATAATCAAACTCGCAACATATTTTGCATGTTGTCATGGCCGTTGCTACAATATATGGGGCTTAACACTTGGGTTTGCTCTGCTAAAGTTGAATGCCAAGTATATGTATTTGGCAAAAAAAGGCGGAAAACCCAAATTATGGACAACAAAATCTAGAAAACTTAAGTGAATGCAGCAGTATGGGGGAAATCACCTCAGGATCAAAAACAAGCCTGCAAAGAGAACAAGCCTGGTATACATAACAACAATTGGCTATTGCCCTTTTTCTCCCTCATTTCCTGCCTCTTATATGGCGATCTCCAGGTTTACATAAGAAAATAAGTTGATTTCAATATGAATATTAAATTATGTCATCAAGATGAAACTTCGATCCCTCTAACAGAAAATTCCTAGCCATTTGAAATTAATTTGTGAGTATAACCAGGTAAAACGAAATAGATCAAGATACAAGAAAATTTCCCAGCGACAACATTTTTTTTTCCCAAAAAATCCCATTTCTCAGGAAAAAAACTAATGAAAATCAAAATTGACTACTTATTCTGGGAAAAAAAGCAGAAATTTTACATGCACACATAATTGTGTGTGTGCATATGTGTATATAGAGAAAGGGATATGGATCTGTTGAATGGGAAAGATACATATCAATGAGGAGAAGAAGGCAAAGAGGAATACCTTGGATTGGTCTTTGAACGTGGAGTGAAAAGCAGAGTCGCCGTAAGCGGAGGAGAGAGACGAATCACGATGAGCGGCGGAGGCTCGGATTGCCTGAGCGGCCAAGGAGGACGATCTCGAATATGAACGGTTGATGGTGTCATCGTCGAGAGGGCGATATATTTCTTCCTTGAAAGTGGAAGCCTTGGTAATTCCCTGCCTTCTTCTATATGCCATTTTCTGCTGGGTGTGGAAAAAAAAAATGAAAACCAAGCGGTCCTGTCCTGTGCACCACCACCACCACCGCGTGATCCACCGCCACATCCAACGATTGATTTCCAGAAAAATAAGGGGGAGAGAGAAAGAGAAGGATGGGTGTCTGGAAATCAATTCACTTCTTAACGGACTCTCCTTAACTTGTATATATATATATATATATATATATTATAGCAGAGAGAATGTCATCCAAACCGTTGGATTCATGATGTGTATTGTGGAAGTGGGAAGCTATATTTGCAATCAAACGGCTTGGAACCTCGATGGGGATCACGAGACTATGGTGCTATGTGAGACCGTAACGTTTTATTTTTGTTAAAATTCAGGTACTTTGGTTAGTGGGGGGTGGCGGGAAAGGACAGGCATATGGGACCCACCAGGTGATCTAATTTCTGTTAAAAAACTCTTTAAGACATGTGATGACCCGCACGTTTTTGACATAATATTAGGCTCAAAAGAATAGTTGGGCACAGATTAGAGGAAATTATCCTTTATCAGTATATACTTGTTGGTTCCCGCAATAGGGAATTTTTCTCAGACTTGCATGGATGGAGGTTCTGTTTGATCTGGGGCATAATATAGTTTCCTGTTAATTCTATGGCATATTTGTGAAATCTCTACTACTATTCTGTCCTGCTATCTGTTTCAAGAGGAGAATTTTGATGAGGATGTATGATTGTTTATGTATGCCCTTAGGATGTGGCTGCTTCGATGAACTTGTCTGATTTGTATTATGCCAATGTTATTCTGAGTTGGTCAATTAGGTGTTTTCTTGTATTTTTTCTAATATGGACAAGTTTTGTTGTTAATTTCTTATATATCCACTTTATTTACCCCAAAAAGAAAAAGAAAAACCGCATCCCTGCTATGCCTGCGCAAGTGAATCTCTAGAGCTCATGCTGATTTGATCATTTTCCTTATGATTGGTGGAGCTGTACTGGCTGCAATTAAGATTATGTAGCCTAGAGGCTTCAGGCCTTCCCATGTCTCTGCCAATTTTTCTTGGTTGTGTGGCAAAATGAGATTCAGGATAGGTCAGCAAGCTTAACTTTGAAGTTGTTAATTGCAAAGTGTTGCTTAAAGCCTTTCTTTGAGTAAATCCACAATCATATGCCCAATTATATCAGGATCACAACAGATGCTCTTTTGCTAAAATAGGTCTGAATTGTAATGGACTAATGTGAACCAAACTTTAGAATATTTACAATATTTCGTTATACCAAAAACTTTGAGTTTTCTGCAACTGCTTAAAGCTGAAGGGCCAAATCAGTATCCATTGAAGATCGTAATGGATTGTGAACAAAAGATTTAGCGCTTGGTTCAGCTTGGTCAGTACAGTGCAAGCCTCTCTTGTAACTAATTCTCTCAAAAGAGGGTCCTTCGAAGTTGAAACTTTTCTGGAATTCAGACGTAGAAAATCCATCCCGCCCCATAAGATTCATCTGCCTGAGTTGTGATTTTAAGAAGGGAAGATCAAAAGTGAATTGGGAGACTAATGGCTTCAGCTTGTCCGATTCCAGAGATTGGCTAGCCTGAGACAACAAGTGGACTTCATTCTTTGGTCCCAGTGCAGCTGTAGCTTGAGAATGTGAACACATGCTATGCATGGAACCATTGGTCTGACTCAAAGTTATTCCCTCCCTGGTTCGTGAGAGCCATGGGAATGATGTGGAACCATTCTTGTTTCTCAACTTAAATTCAGACACAATTGACTGAGAATGCTCTGAAGCTAAAATTAGTGGATGCAGGTTGGCAGGCAAGTTGGCTAAATTAGCTGTCAACGGTGTAGACTTGGTGCTAGCATCGCTAACACTAATTATTGAGGAATGCAAATCTCCATTACCAGCACTGGAAGCACATGGACCCAACTGAAGTTCAGTGCTTTGATTCCAAGTAACCTTCCTTTCTCTGGAAACACCAGGGACATTCATCCCACCACTAATAGTTGATGCTTCATTGTTAGTAGTATTTTCTCTATTTGCAGTGCCATGATTGCCCACTCTGTCTTCTGTATTAGCCATTTCTCCATCTTCAGAATCAGTCAAATCTATGATATCAATGATTGATTTATGGCTGGATTGGCAACTAGGTCGGGGGTCAAGGAATTTCTTAGATGCAGTTGTGATTGCTATATCTGGAGTTCTCTGTTGCCATCCAACAGGGGCAAATGCAGTAGGAACTTGATACTTTGAGGCCTGTTCCGAACAATATGAACTTGGCACCTGACAAGTGGGGGCATCTTCTCGCCACCCTTCTAACTTTCTTCTGGCTATCATTTGTGCTGTTGGCCCCAAGTCTTTCACGAACGACATCAAGCTTTTGGTGTAACTGATATCCTGCTGATTGACAGACAGAAACGAGAACATACCATCGGCTTCCATGCTTGAAGTTGAAATTTATAAGAAGCATAAATACATAACCCAATATATAGATAAAAATGGGGCCATCAAGTATTTATCCTCATTGTAAATGGCTAGTACCATTGGTAAGTCACTTTTCACCACAAACAAAGCAAACAGTAAAAAAGATTGAACTTACAGGATCATATTTAGGTCACTATTTGCTTGCGTAAGCAGAAAACAATGTTTTGGGCCTAAGATAATCATCTCAAGAAGGACAAATTTAGATAAATTGGATCAGTCTCCAAAAAAAAAAATATTAAGTTATAAAAAGATGATGGCAGGGAAAGATATATAGAACAAATAAGCTGCTTGAAAACTATAGTTTGATACAAACTGATCAAATTCATAGCACATCTACTAAGATGATTTAGAACACCCTTTGCCACCAAGAGTCGGGGACCATCCCATGGAAGAGTTAGGTGATCAATGGCGTGATTGAAAACCAGAGCACCAAATGGCAGTCAGATGAGGCGGTAACATCCTCTGAAATACAATTAGAGAGAGAGAAAACAAGTCATGGCTGCAGGATTGGATTTTCCGTAATTTTGATAGGGATTTGTGCTTAAAATTGAGCCTGTAAGGTGAAAAAAATGCTCCTACTTGCTTTAAGAAAAAAAAATTAGATGTAAGGTACAGTTTTAATTTTCATTTTTTGAAGTTAAGTCCCCGGCTCCCAGTTCTTCATGTAATTTCCATGCATATGAAGGGGCTTTGTTTGGAAACTGCAACTCTACATGAATAAGAGCTAATTAACATCAAATTTAGCTACTCTTCACAACAGCGCGTAAGTCACAAAGGAAAGAAGAAAACTTACAAGTTTTGGTGATTTGGGATCAGTGAGTATTGTTGAGACAACTGAAGTGTTCTCATTATGCAAGGAGGACTTCCAAGGTCTATATGTGCATCGCCGGTCTGCTTCATCAAAACTTGACTTTCTACCTTCTCTATGACCTATTTAGAGATGAAATAAGACGAATGCATCAGCAACATTACAATTTTTGCATTGTGATGAATATTTGATAGTAACCACTAATAGTCCAATAGATTTAAGTTTATGAAATTTAGAAGAACCATCATTACATACTGTACTAGCTTCATAAACTTTATTTCAACTATGGTTTGGTGAATCAATCTGTGGAATGATTAGAGAAATTAAGTGAGTTTAGGATTTTGAGTTAATGCCGTTTATGCAAAATTAGGTTGCAAACTGCTAAATCAATCCCAGATGTCAGTAAAAGCAAAACTATCATTAATGATTCATTTCAAAAATCAGATAATTGCATAATTTGTGTCAAGTTTGGGAAGTGAGGGCAATTTAAAAGCAGCAGGCACCAGTAGTTGGTCCATTGGGAGGACCATAAGATGATGATCTGATCACTTAATGAAGTAATAGTTTAGTTTTAATGGACCAGGCTAGAGGTGGTAAACATATCACATGACCAGAACCCAGGCTCGTGGGTTTGCTCTTAGTGATCGATAAGATGTTTAAGGCAGGGAAAAATTTGTAGAGGTCTTTTCTATTCATGAACCAATATGCTGAGAGCCTGAGACCTTGAATTACAATTTAAACAAGAGACCGATGCAAAGCAGGTGTTTATTTTTGCGTGCACTCACACACACTCATATGAAAAGGTATAATGAAACATTTTTCTTCATTATAGATGTATGCTCTTCACTAAAATGAATATAACGATTCATCTAATTAACCTGAACCCACTGGTGTAAAAACATTAAGGTTCGGAAGTCAGAAAGAATTACCAAAAAACAAGTTATGATACGATGTGTCAACATTAGAAACTGCACTAGGAAACCCTGGATTTGCACGGCTACTTCTTCTTAAGATTGATGGACCACTTAAAGGACATGGTAGACGTTTTGATGAAATGTTACTGCCCAGACTACTACGTCGGACATCTGTAGAAAGTCTAAATCTCTTGGCTTGACCCAGTGGTCTCCTAGCAGATCTTCGTCTTGTTCCCGAGAATTCCAATTCAAAGTTTTCAGGATCAGTTTTCAGAACATGAAAAACCTTCTTAGCTAATTCATGTATAGCACGAGCCTGCATAATATCAGAGTGGATTTCAAATGATGGAGAATATAAAGATCTTCAGGCTATGTTAGACTGAGTATTGACAGAAGCACCAAGTATAATGCTCCAGAAAGTGGGTAGGAGTTCATGACCTTACCTGTCTAAAATAAATGGTAGCTGTGGAGTTAAAATGCATTGCATTTCTTGGTATCAGAAACACATCATGCTGCATAATATTCCAGAAGCATGTGGTTAGAAGACGATTTGGATGTTACATGTGGCATGAACAAAACATTTTTTTGCATGCTTTTCATGGCCAGAAATGTAGCAATTATTATAAGACTTTGAATGCTCAGGATTATTCAATCCATAGATCATATCTAGGATATAACATATAAAGGATATGTCACTCTGAAAAGATATTGATATGTTGGTCCTTTTGCAATGTGCCATCTCTACAGTAAATAAATGAAAAATAACGTTTCAACTAAAAGTGCTCTCTGTTCAAAAAAAAAAACCTAAAAGTATTCTTAATCACCAACAGCAAAAGCATGTAGGCAGAATAGTCTATCCCCTCCCCCTCCTCGTGTTGAATTTTAGAAGATAAAGGACACAATCACATTCAATAAATTTGGTTTTAGAACTAAAACACACTGCTTAGTCGTAAGAAAATTCGTTTAAAATGATAATAAGACAACAGTAACTTTGGAGATATGACCAAACCTCAAATTGTTCAAGACTTCTGTATATTCCTTCATGAAGTTTAGCCCTCATGGTGCCAAAATCCATAGGCTCTTTAATGATTTCATAGTATTCCTCTACCTTATAGAATTCACTAGATCTTGTTAGTATTATGGGGGTAGATCTTATAAGAGATCAGCATATAAGTATCAGATAATGAACCAATAATGACCAAAGACGAACCTCACTGGGGTCTACTGGTTCAGAGAATATTTCATATGTATCCCTCCTAACATCAAAGTTAATATTCAGAAGAAACTCAAAATTTTAATTACAAATAAAATTAAAATTTTGTCACCCTAATACGCTAAAAAGAATATTTGTGAAGTGTACCTTTGCAATACATCAAGGATAAGTTCAAGTACACGTTTTTCTGGCATTGATGATGTTAATGAAGCAACTGAGGGTTGACCTAGTAATATCAATACCCAAGTTACAAGCAGTGATAATTTTCATCTTAGTGTATGCAGTACATTGAAAATTGAGAATTCACAAACTTCCTGAGAAAAATAAACCAACCAGTGCAAAAAACAAATTATCAAACAATTTGTCAAACAATTTATCAACTGATGGTGTTAAAAAACAAGTTTTTGGATGCTGATCTGATTCAAAAAACAATTTATATTGTGATGTCATGCGAGCATGATTGAAGCCTCAAAGTCTGTAGACATATCTAATGGACAAAAGGCTCACCACTATTGGTTGAACGATCTTCACAATTTGGGCTCTGATCTCTATTCTGCACATTATCAAACATAAGATGTTGAAACAAACGCTTATAACATATTGAAGGATGATAGCCAAGCAAAAGCCTCATAATTCTTTCTCTTTGGCACCAAGAAAAAAGCATCAAAAGATTAAATCAATGATCACTATAATCCTTGATTACAGGGCACAGTTCTCTTTGTCTTGCTTATTATCAGAGAAACAGAACAGAATAGAATCATATTTGTTATTGCATTCTTATCATCAGCTATTCCATCTTTGCCTTAAATTAAAAGTGTATAGATACCTAGGAACTCCTAATACTCTTGGACTGCTTCCTTAAGCAAGACCAGTGCCATCCAGACATTTTAATTAGAACAGTATCAACAACTCTGAAAACGAATAAGCCTCTGGGTAAATATAACAAGTCATTTCCTTCTATTTTAATGTGATTTTTCCCCCTTCAGACATCACTAGGAATGCATCTCTTTAACATACGTCCTTCAAAACCTTTTAACTAGCGAGAAATTCAGACAACTTGTCAGCCTGAAGAAAGCAAAAGAAGCTCATTTCAATCTAACTAGGTCGGCAGGTTAACCTGTCAGGATATGCTGGGGGACACAAGTGCAGTCCTGCAGCAGTATCTCGACTGAAGGGGTAACATTTCAATTTATTTTTCATGAAGCTTTAGGAACCCTGATTGCTGAAACTGATCCAAATTAGGTATAAGCAGTGCAAGTGAGGCCCAATTTAGGACCACGGACCGTCCTCAATCTCCTTGCTTCTCTGTCCAGTGAGTGATGTCTATAGTAACTATTAAACATAAATTACAATGATTTCAACTCACTGAAATATCTAACTGCTATGACTTAGAGAGTGCTAGTGGCCTTCTTCGATCAGAATTCTCCTAGTAATCTCAATACCTGAGAACTTAGTAGCATATCAATATTAATTAATAACAACAATTGAGGCAGCCTGAGAATGACACACAACCATATTAACTTCCAGCAGCTTAACCAAACTGCCTAAATGATTGTCCCTTATGATTTAAAACCAGAAAGAAAAAAAATGCACTCTAGTTCTTGTTGCTGGCAACTAACTATCGTCGTCACTAGCATTACTCATAGAGCCAGATCAACAGTTATGGGATGTCCACATTGTAATGAATTCTTGTTCCCCATAACAAAGTGTAAATGTGGAAAAGTTAACTAATGACATGAAAACCACCTACCTGTTTGGTTTTAGTTGAGATTGAATCTTCGAGTTTTCTCTTGACTCTAGCCCTTGTCCGGGAGGGTGGTCCCTGTTCACCCCCCCTACTGTCTTCATGCATCAGAATAGTATTCTGTGAATCAAACATGGTCGGTTGGTGAGGCTTCCATGCATCTAGGGCCGAGATCCGAGGACTCCTCCTTATATGTCCACCTTTCCACACTGATTTTGGTATTCTCCTGCAAACACAAAAACATTAGAAAGAAAACCCATGTCAAACAAACAGTAATATCATTTCTTTCCAGATGCGTCATTCCATTACTATAGACATAGACATAGTAAGGAATGAGTTTCATATACCAGGTCATTTATACAGATTGAAGAAAGGAAGACTCAATTCTCCTGTTTTATCCACCTGAAAGAATAGTTTATGAATGTAGTGCTAAGGCGATCAAGAGACTGTGCAACAGCTTAATTTATATACAGGAAGGAGCTAAATACACAGAGAGTGAGAAGGACGAGTGGTAACGCCAGGAGCGTTGGAGATATTTGCAGAGCTACTCACAATTGGTTAGTTCTTCGAATTTGGATATGAAAAATTTTGTAATTTGCATAAAAGGATACACAATATGAAGACCCTCGAATAATCATCATATTCGCTTCCTATTTGAGTGGAGTACTTGACAACTGTGGAAGCGTTTGAGGAGCTGAAGCATTGGGATGTGTCCAAAGAGCTGTGACGGATCCATATCAATATTTAATGCTGATTCCACAAGAAACCCATAATTAATGTATGCATGCAATCACAATGATTTTAAACATCTGACACAAGACAGTTTCCTGAAAAAGTGACTGGCCAGCAGAGAAGATTATACCAATCCCAGGCAGTAAGTGCATCCTCTGAAAAATGTTGAACGAAATACCATTATTAGGCGAGAATTATAGCTGTCAATTTCTCATTTGAATCAATTCTAGCAGTTAAATAAAAAAGTGAAGTAGGATATATAGTGGAAATGAAATGGTGTATTTTGTTGGCTTTAAATAAAGATATATCAATATATGTGTGTTTATTTCCAAATATGCTAAGATTAGGACAGGACACAAATGATATGATTCTTGAATATAACTAACGGTAGCTGATGATTCAGAAGACAATACGCAATAACTCGAGATTATTTTTGTTATATGCATGCTTATATTTTCTTGAAAGGGCCACACTTTATTCCAAAACAAACTGATCGACTTCAATACAGAAAGATAATTGTTAGACTACACAGAGCAGTAGCACCATCCAAAAACTAAAAGGGGATTGAAAACAATGTATAAAAGGTTTCTTCTAAACACTGGTCTGGAATGGACTTTCATGATCCCATCCCATCCCTCCTTAATTTCCTGGAAACCAACAGATAGAGTAATATGTCCTTCTGAATTAGCATCCGTGGTGGTGAATTTTTATTTAGTTTATTGTTTCCTCATCTTTTATATTTATTTATGTATAAAGAGTATTGATTGAGCCAAAAATAATATGCTTTTTTTCTTTTTTTTTTTTAACTTGGGCATATCTTGATTAAATTTAGGTATATGGTCAATTCCTTTTATTACCACCAATAATGACTTAATTATTCTGGCTAATTTGGCTGACAGTTTTATATAATATATCAATTTTACTATGTAATATTTCTAGAGTTGGTATAAATTTTCACCAAAATTCCTTTATATGCCTTCTAATAAATTTTCCATACCATTCCTTTTTTATCGCTTGCTTTATATTTTCTCATAATAATCTTTTTTTGAGCCACCCTTGGGTTTTTTATTTTATTTTTTGCGTTTTTTAAGTATTAATGTATCACTTTCCAATTCATCAGGCATGCCCTTGGCCCAAAAAAAAAAGACGAAAGAAAAATTACACTCAAATTCTTTAAAATTTGTCATTTAATCACTTAGATCTTTAATATTTAAAATATTATATACAAACCTTTTAAAGTTGTATAAGCATAACACTTAGACTGCTGCCTTCAATGTCAGTTAGTATATTCATTAGTATATTATACCCAGACTTCCTAAAGTTTATAAGAATATAACACTTGGATCTCTTAAGTTTAAAATATTATATTTAGTTCCCTTATTAGTTACAGAATTAACGAAATCTATTACACGACCAAATTATCCCAATTCCAGATGGAAGATATTGTGTCCGTTTACAATTGACCTCTTGCTTGATTATTTAGTTTTATTCCAATAGACATTATAATTATATGTAAATGAGTGTTGAATTGAGTTTTTTAGTATATTTATGTTGATTACTATTTTTCTCTCAAAAAATTAGGGTTTTGTTTAATTTTTATGTCAATGGATGATATAATGGAACATGCAAATATATATATTTTTTTAACTTTTTTGAGGAAATGGAGGGGGAGTTGAACCTTTAATCTTAAGAAGACAAAATTTTTACAAAATAAAGAGTACCATTAGAGTAAAGGTCCGTTGGTAAAACATGCAAATATATTTATTAGACTTATTTCATATGTTCGTACTTGATGATAGAAAAATTGACATCAACAGTACTAATTATGCTTTTTAAGAAAAAATTAAATTTAAAATTTAAATTTTATTTTAATAAATGATATCATAAAACCTGAATTTTGGTTGTAAAATTTAAAATATTTGATATTCTATTTTTAATTAGAGTGTTTTTGGTCTAAATGTATTATTTTAAACTTGAAGTATTGAAGTATTACATGCTTCAAATTACAAGGATCTGGATGTAATTTACTGACGAATATGCTAACGGACATAACGACAAAAGTTTATGTGTTACGTGCGTACAAATTTCAGGAGATTTGTGTCTAATATTTTAAAATTTAGAGGTCCAAGTGATGAAATGGCAAAAATTATGGGGTCTGGGTGCAATTTTTCCAAAAAAAAACACAGACAAGTGAAAGAAATTTTTTTTTTAAAAAAAAAGTTAAAGAAAGGGAAGGGAATAATTGAGGTTGGGTAATGGTGGTCCGTATGGCATGCTTGGGAGTGGGACTTGGGAGAAAACATAATATAGAAAGGAGGGGTCTCATTCTCAACAACCAAACAATTTGGACCCTGTCGTAACGAAGAAGAAGCCAACCCGTGACTTGTGGGGGTGGGGTGTCTCTGTGTGTGTGTGCGCGCGCGCGCCTGACGAGCCCCACTTGACTTCCAGTTCGATATGCTCCTTTCCTGTTCTCCTCTTTCATCGCTGCCTTCTTTATTTCTTCAAACACAATTATTCAATCTTTAGAATCTTCAACTGCCTCTGTATACTTCAGACTTGTATTCTCTGCCCCAACTTTTGATGTTTTTTCTTTGGGCGATTACATTCTAACAGTTGATTTTCAAAACACCAAATTTGACCGCAAGATCGTTTTTTTTTTGTCCTTTGATAAACCCTAATTTGGTTAGGTTTTTTTTATTTATTTATCACTTTTCGACATCCAGAAATCCTAAGTCGTATTCTGTTTTACCTTGTGATTTTAATGATTGGTTGGAGTTGGAGTATTTTTCTGTTGCTTTTGTGGTTGTAATTTGTGAATCGATGTTCGAAAGCTGAGCTTTTGACTGTTTGCGCTCAATTCGGGGGACCGATAGTTTCACCATCTGAAGGGTAAATTGACACCGGCACAATTTGTTTGGTAAAATCTCATTCCTTCGTTGAAGTTTGTATCATTCCTATGTCTTTTCTATTGTGTCAGATTTCCACTTTGGATGCAACTGGATTATGGTTTTGCATTCTGTTTTCGATTCGTTTGTTTCAGTTTCTTGCGACATTTGATTCTTGTTTTTGAGAATATTGCCTGCATTATTGTTTTTCTATTTGATGAAATTATTTGGACTTCAAGTTCTGATTGCTGTTTATACAGTGGGTGTAGAAGTTAGGTGTTGGAGGAAAAGGGAAGGACAAAGGAAAATTAACAAAAAATATGAACAATTACGTGACCAGAATAAACAATAGGAGAAAAAAAACAGGCCAAGATAGGGAGCATTTGTGTTACTTTCGAGTCTTAAGTAGAGTTGTGGTTCTCATATTGATTAAAGGTGGCTGAACCATGATAATATGATTTCTATCTCCCCATGATTAAGATTGTCACACTAGGGGTGATTAATGTTCTCCATTCTTTCATTGGCGTGCTTATTTTGTCCAGAAACTAGTTTCATTATAGTGATGGGTGTAGGTTGCTCAAGTATTGGGGACAATCTGTTTGATTTGTTCAACCATTTTACTTCCACTCTTAGACTGATTATCAGTGAGACCAAGTAATGTAGCAGTTAGTATTTGTAGTTGTTACTTCCGCTCTTGGACCGGATACTCAAAGATGTTCAGCTAGGAGGAGCTATCAGTGAGACCAAGTAATTTAGCAGTTAGTACTTCTAATTGTTACTTCCACTCTCGGACTGATTCGATCTACTAAGATTCGGATGCAAGACTGGATTCTGTACTGATTTTCTTGAATGTATGGATTGGAAATAAAGTATAAGGTAGATAAGAACTAAACACATTTATGGGAAGCAAGAGTTTGTGCTGGATGAGATAAGGGGAATTGCCTGAAGCTTTTGGTTAGATGCCTCATAGACTGATGAATGCTTTGACAAGGAGAGATGTTTTTTGGGGAAGTCTAGAGAAAAAAGGGGATGCAGTAGACAAGAAAGGAGGACCTAAAGTTGACAATTAAATTCCCTCACATGGCTTACATAAAATTTAATGAGATAAAAGGATCAGCAATTCAGCATAGTTAACCCCAAGTGTTTGAAATCTTTTGGTTTTGACATTTTTGGTGTCCCAAAAATCTTATGAAGAACTGCAGGTGATTTTGATGCATTGTAGCATTCTCAAGAAGTGATATAATATTTAGTGTTTGACTTCATAATAATACGTCCTGGAGATGCAGTTGATATGACTAACATTATCCGATGTGCATCGGCCTTTCCCCCAATTATCCATTACCTTTAGTTGGTTCATTTTGGATGTTGAAGTTTCATGAAAGTGTCTGTTGTATTCTTCATGATTGCCATTTGGCCGTGTGTGCCTCGTGTCTCTTGAGTGGTTACTTTGTTTCTTTTTCTTTTTCTTTTTCTCTTTTTTTTTTTGTTTTTGTTTTTGTTTTTGTTTTCCTGTTTAGTGGATGTGCTGCTCAGACGTTTGTATCTCGCCTCATTGCTTCTAAGCCCCAAAATTGATTGAACCCTATATAATAGAAAGCCCCGAACTAAGAACTACATTTTGTTTCAAAATAGCCGAACTGTTCAAAACATTTCCGTTTCCATAGAAATCAAAACAAATTAGTGATTAAATATCGAAATTCCTATGTCTCGAGGTGTTTCAATATGCTTCGACGTGTTTTGATCGATGTTTGGAATGTTTCGCAAACATATTTGCAATCAGAGGTTTTTGTTTTCAAGCTGACTGAAACTGTGTACCAAATCAAAAATTTGATCCTCGGTCCAGAGTCCAGACCAAACACACAGCTCTAGATGAGCGTCTGGTTCAGCAAATTCAGTCTTACTGCTGTGGCACCTAGAATTTGAACCTCCCACTAGTGAAGCTAGAACGCATGAAAATGATCCATAAAAAGGGCACCAATAAGAGGCGCAGTTGGAAGTTGATCAGAGTGTCGCAACTGCTCCTCATCATTGGAATTCACCCACATATATTAATATGTAATACATTCTTCATATTTAGTAAGCATGCGACACTCTTTCTCTCACATGTTCTCCTTTGTCTTGACTAATGCACTAGTTTTGCCCTCCTTTTTGATTGTCTTTTCTTGGCTTATTTTTTATCACCTCTAAATTTATGTATAATGCCTGGGTACTTTTTGTGGTTGCCATTGAGTTCATTTTCTGCTTGTCTTCTTGTAGTTCTTGATGGATGCAGACTTAGAAAACATATCATCGGAGTCGCCTCAGCCCACTGTGCATGGCCACATGAATGGCACATTAGCTGTTGATCATTTTTGCCCGCAGGCAGCATGTGCACTATGTGAAAGAATCCTTTCATCTGATAATCAGGCTGGCAATCTTGAAGCAATCAGCATATGTGGGGATTGTGAATTTTTGTTTCTGGAGGATATTGGGACCCCTATACATCATTCTCATCAAAGGAGGCCACCAAGATTAAGAAGAAGGTACAGCAGTTCTGAGTCGATTGAAAATCTCTTTTCGCAACAGTTCTCACATCTGATTAATCTGGCAAGGCAGAATCAACCCTCTGTTTCTGAGAACGAGAATCAATCTGTAGATAACGATGCCGCTGCGAGCTTAGGGCAGCAAACGAGTTCCCGTACTACTCCGAGTGCGTCTAGAAGATGGAGGAGGAGGGTACTTTCTGATACTGAAAGTGATGGTTTTGATTCCTTTTATGGTGAGAGTGAATCAAATGTCAGCTTCAGTGGGTATAGGCTTTTCCCTGGTGAGAGTGATACTGTTTCATTTAGTGCTTATGGAGGGGATTCAGATGCTTCTGTTGACGATCACAGTTTTTTGGATAATGAGATTTTTGGCCATCCAGATAGGGGAAGTGATGTTGACAGTGATACTGATATGGACCCAATGCATGCGGGTCTCAACCAGTGGAACTCGGATGATGAGGAAGAAGATGAAGATGACGATGAAGAAGACATTGAGTGGGAAGAAGCTGATGCTGAGGAAAACACAGTTGACTCTTTGGAAATGGGAGCACAGCTTGAAAGGTCTTTGAGTTCAAATGAAGGCAGTCTCCTAGTTAACTCGCGCAGACATCTTCACTCTCCTGAATTTGAGGGTACATTTCCTTTGAGAATCAGGGACAGAGGACAAACATATATCCCTAACATCTTGGCTAATTTAGAGTCATCAGAGTTGCAACGTTATATCAGGAATTCTGGGGACTATCTTGATGCGAGAGGATTCGAGGAACTGCTTGAACATCTTGCTGACACTGACAGTTCAAGACGAGGAGCACCTCCCGCAGCTGTCTCTTTTGTAACTAGTCTGCCACATGTAGTCATTAATGAGGAGCATGAGAAGCAGGACACTTTGGCATGTGCAATCTGCAAGGAGTCTCTGTCTGTTGGTACTGCTGTAAACCAGCTTCCTTGTTTTCATTTCTATCACCCGTCCTGCATTTTGCCATGGTTAAGTGCACGGAACTCATGCCCTCTTTGTCGATATGAGCTTCCAACTGATGACAAGGATTACGAGGATGGGAAACGAAGCAGTGGCAGTGGATTAGAGATTCAGGAAATCCAACAGCAGGGCATGAATGAGGATAGTTTCTCAGACATCACTGATGGTGACGAAGCAGATGAAGCTAATAAATTTAGTCATGGTCAAACAGAGCAGGGGGAGCTGCTTGATGTGGATCGTGCTGCAGGCACCTATGGTAGGGAGAGAGAAAGAGGACGATGGTTCTTTCTTGCTGCAGCTGCTCCTATTGTCAGTCTTGTTGGCATTGCTCTCGTGTTGTGGCTTGGCAACCCTCTAACAGGAAGAAGAGGGCCTGTTGGAGTTGGTGAGTTTCCTGTACAGGGACAGCATCCAAATCACAGTTTGGGCTCTCGCCCTTCCAACCGAAGAGAGAATCACCGGAGCGGGAGCTGGTGGTCTCTATTTTAACATGTTTTCTAAACATCAGATTGTTATTGGTACTGATTGTGATTGGTTCTGATTGTTCTCCACATCTAATCCACTACATTCATGCGTGCACGGAGTTCTTTTCTCGTTCAGGTGCTGTATGAGTCATACATATACACCAGGAGTTTTTGACTCTTATCTTTCTATATGAAATATTGTGTAGACCTCGTTGCTGTACATACTATTTTTGTGAGGACACCGTTGAGTGATTTTGGTCAAGTTCTGGCACATGCATTATTGATCCAGTGTTGTTTTGGTGAGGCAGTAAAAAGGATTGAAATCAGTGCAATCTAATTTGTGCCGGAGTACACCACATCGTTTTGTTCTTTCTGATAAGTTGACTTTATTTTTCCAGACTACCAATCAAGGGAGTGTTTTAAATCATGTTATCCCATGGTTTATTAGTTAAATCTTTAGGTATTTCAGGTGGTGATCAACTTCTGGCATATGGTGTAGATTGCATGTGATTGTTGTTTTAAAGTTTGCTACAGGGGCTTGTATGCTATTTGATGGCTAAATTGTCCTCCAAAACATGATCACATATGCCTGACGAATATAAGTTGTTGATTATGAGGCTCTACTATTGATACCAAGGAAGTAGGCACAATTAACTCTATATTGTCACCACATTGCCTCTCAAGAATTGCTATTACCAACACAAAGTGGATCCATCGTTGAGCATCAACAGGAGAGAAACAACAAGGTGGCAGGGACAATGAGAAGGTTACATTTGTCGATTGCAATTATCCATGGGGACTACTAGCGTGTCATTATCCGTTGAACTTATCATCAAGTTCAAGTTGTGGTCATCTTGAGACAAATCTTCAGCTCCCCTTGGAGGAAAGTTGTGAGTGGGTGTGTCTGTGTTGGTTGGGGGGGGGGGGGGGGGGGGGGGTTATGTGTGTGTGAGAGAGAATTGAAAATCAGCTGGCAAATAAAACGGAAATGACCATTTAATAAATAAAATAACCATCATACAGCTTGTATGAATGCAAGCAGCCCTCAGCAAAACTTTCACACTAGCGATAACTCTTCATGTAGGTTATCTATAAACATTAATAAAGATGGAAAAAAGGAAGTGGCAGATCTGGCACAGCATTTGCCATAACGCAATTTTGCTAGAACCGGAGAATGATGCATCCAACGAGATCAACCCCGACAGCTCCCTCCCACTTCTAGCCGAGGAACGTTATAATGCAATTTTAAAAGAGTATGTTGAGATATAGAATAATCCACCCAGCCATAGAGAAAACAGCAAAGATATGAACCCAGAACAAGACAGCAGCTGCTTCCCTTCCACATCCTCTTAAATTGGCAACAGCACCTACGAGAAGGGTACAGATGTAAAAGTTAACTATAGTTTGCTGCCAATTCTATTACCGTAAATAAGGGTAATGAACTGTGTAATTCATGATCACAAAGATAAATTATAATGATGAGTCGATGACTGTATACTAGGTAGCATCCAGTCAACTAACTGCTTTGAGGTTTTAAATGCACACGTTGAAGAAGAAAGAAATAAGAATGGAAAAACAGATAATAGGACAGGGGAAAATATGAATGCTGATGCAAAGGGTTGATGTTTATCTAAAGCAGGGCAACGCCTGAAAACCAGCTCTCTTTTTTCTTTTTCTTTTTTGCGGGGGAAGGGGGGGGGGGGGGGGTTTAAGAAGCTAAATTTAATATCCAATTTGTAGGCAATGTATTAAGAATCCAAATACTTGACCAAAACAATTTCCCCACAAATAGTATATATCAACTTGTTCCATTATCTTTGGCTGGGGGTAGAGATCTGGTGCTTCTTGTTTGAACACAATCAAAGTCTATATACCATCTGATTATGAACGTTAGAATCTAGATGCACCTTAGGATTTGTGGGGGGATGAATTAAAATTTGGCTCATCTCAAGAGGGCCAACCAAATATTAATTATTAAAAGAAATAGCCAACATAAAAAGGAAGTTATAAGGTTATCTCAAATGTCCGGGAGGCCATGTTCCCCCTTGGCCTTTGAATAGCTTTTCCCTGATGTAAAGCCTAAATGGTGCAAGAAATATTTAGCTATTACTCTTTGACTGATCTTGTCTTTTGAACTTGGGAACATATCTACTACAATACTCTGTCGATGAGGTTGATATGAGATAACAAAAACTGTCGATGAGGTTGATATGAGAGAACAAAAACTGTCAATGAGAATGGCGTTACCAGAGAGCACAGATGTTGGCATTGTATGCTGGAGGAGGAGGACAAATTTGAACATCTTATCACCAGCGGGAAGGAAGCCAAGCTTATCAGCCAACGTAACAATGCCAAGTCCAGTTGGAGGAACCAAAACCAATCGCCCAAAAATAATGGCAGCGGTAGTCCGTAGGCCAAGTTTTGAACTTCCAGGTCCTGAAAGTATTCCATCAACAGTCATGCTATCTGATTTTTGATTAAGTTGTTACAGCATCAGAACTAGGATATGACATTACATGGAGAAGAGTTTATCGAGAATGCTTGTAGTGCCACTCAGATTTTTTCTATAAAGAAATCTCCGGTAGCACATACAATATGAATTCTCCAGAACTACCGTTTTACACAACAGTGTATATGGATGAAACATGCATAGTAGACAAACAACTTACCATCTACAAGGTTGCCCCCTAATGCCAACAAAATGCATGGAATCATGGCCTCCCTGACAATCACACACTTTGTTAGACAATCATTATGTTTCAGGCTGCAGCTAGACATTCATAGTGACACCACAAAATAAAGGCATTTTTTGCAACACAACCCTTTTCTCCTAGTTTTATAATGATACATATGGCTAACCTGAATTATATTATTGGAAAATTTATCAATGTTCAACGTAGTGCTTTTCTTTTTCTTTTTGTTTCCTGTTACACTGCCCACAATTTTGGAATCTCAAGCAACATGATACCATGCATTTCAGGAATCTTTTTAGTTCCAGCATGTTTTTTTAATCACATCAGTAATGTCTTGCAATGTTATTGTATGAGAGATTGTTGCTTCAGGAACCTTAAAGTAAGATTATAATATATATATATATATAGCGATCATGAAAACTCTACACCATAGTCTTTACTGGTTACTTTTGATTTGGACCGTTAGATCATATGATCTAACATCCACTAATCAAAAATGTTAAAAATTAAATGTAAACACCTACCATATTTAGTTATATATTAGAAAGGAAACTTCAAAACCACATTTATTATGATACCAGTAATACAAGGAAAGTATATTTAGTGTTAATATCAAATGTAATCTTTTAAAAATAAGTTAATCGTAATACCCTATTCAATATGTCATGTTATTTTGGACACTTACGAAAAAGAGACAGGAAAAAAATAAGCAGAGTACGAGGCAAACTGCATTGACTATGTTTCGACCTCAAGAATTATACAGATGTTTTTAATTTCTTTTGAACATGAGTAGCTAATTGTTTTGAAAACTATGTAATGGGAATACCAGAAAGGCTCGACTTGGCTTATTTATCGTCTTGTTTCCAGGTAAAGCTCAAAAAAATCGATATGAACATTGGAACTCATAAATGACCATGACAATTAAATAGTTTTGCAAGCAAATTTTATTCACCATGTATGGGGTCTAAATTTTGTTCCCACCTTTATGAACTTGCTATAGTTCCTCTATGGTGATAACCACCCAAACCTCCATTTCGTTATTCTTCTGAGGATTTTATCATTAGCTTTTTATTTTCTATCTACCTCACTAGCAAAGTGATAAGCTACCCACATGATCTAAACAAGGTGAAAATACACATCTTAAATGGGTTTGAACTTAATCAATATTACATGCTTAAACATTTGAATTCTTCTTTTTTTTTGGTTCTTTTTTCTTCCTTCAATTTCCCAATTAACTTGACTGAGCTAACAATTTTTTATTTTTTCTCAGTTTCAAATAATTTTGATTTGATAATAGTACTAAATATACTTTTCTTGTATTACTGATATCATAATAAATGTGAGTGAAGTTTCCTTTCTAATACATAACAAAATATGGTAGGTGTTTACATTTAATTTTTAACATATTTGATTAGTAGACCTTAGATCATGATCTAACAGTCCAAATCTAAAGTACTCACTAAAGACTATGGTACAGAGCTTCCATGATCACGCTACTCTCTCTCTATATATATATCAAAAGATAGAAATTAATTCGCTAACAATCGTAAATTCTTGCCTCATGAACCTTAGACCAAGCTCATTATGTGTATGAAAAGATAGAACTTAAGTCACTAACAATATCAAACCAGAGGAGCTACCAGGCAGATATAAGATGAAGGAACTGAGCATACCCAAGAATCAAGCAGCTGTCGGTGAAAAAATAAAGTGGAGCATCAGTTGTGAAGATCAATCGCTTCAACAATGGCACACATCCTATCACGATGGCTAGGATCTGTTGCAAACAAACACTAACATTAAGTAGCTGTAATGCCAAAAAAAAAAAAAAATTCTTCAATAAGAATTTTAATAGAGATGTTAAAAGCCACACCTCTGACAAAAAAAAAAATAGATTATTTTTAAGAACCTTCAACAGTCCGGTGTTTGCCCAGGTATGTTTAACAATAAAAAAACTACAGATAATTCAGTCCAGAGTGTCTATATTTGCCCTTCCCACGCCTACTGATCTGAAATGTCAAATGAATTGCTTTGGACTAGAAAACACAAGGGGAAAATTCAACACACTGTACAACATAGCATTTTGATGCCTTTAATCCACCCCTGTTCTAATCACTTTTGCAAAATCCAAAGGTGAAGTTTATCAAGCACGGATTGTACCAAAATGGATATTTCCGGATTATAATATCTGTAGCAAACCCCACCAAGTGAAAGATTTAATAGCTAAATTGGTAATTCACCTATTAGCAAGTACACTTGTATTTATAAACAGAGCTTCCTGAATGGATGACAACAAACAGAAATCAATCAATTCAATGTATTCAAAGGGGTTGAACTTACAGAAGCAATGATAGGTGGTTGAAGGATTTGCTTGAGCTTCAACTTCTCATACAGAAATTTTAAGAAATCTTTGATCTGCATAAAATACATGGCATGTAAGGAAAAACGATCCCATTAATTTGGTAAAAAGGTTCTAGATAAATGTCATTGGGAAGGTGAAAATAAATAATGTTTGACACATTGTTGAAAATTACGTGTACTCACTAACAGCAACCGAAACAGAAAGCTTCAATGCAAAAAAGGACCAAATTCTGTCGACCATGTCGGTGACATTTTAACATCACAAATTCACCACCAATAGGGTGATGAAAGTTGCAAGGCAAAGGCAATGCATCTGATACACATTAATTTGGGTAAAATTTCTTGAAGGAAAAACTTTATGGTTTCCCATCAGGACAGAGCAAGACTGGAGATAATCTTTCAGTCTACAATATCAAATGTCTTTTCAGCACGGAAAAAGCTACACTCCAAAATTATAAGATTCATTCCCTGTCAGCATCGGAATCAAATATGAAATAGGCGTGCTAGAAGCAGAAGAGATGAGAGGTCAAAAATGTTAGGCTTAATGTTGCCATTGTGTTTTTAAGCATCTGCATCAAAGAAACTCAATACTGGACGTAACATACGGAGGAGCAATGATTCAGTAGATACAAATAACAATTAACCCTGGAAACACTGCATTCTTAACAGTAAAAACAGCTTACTTTTCTTTTTATCAAAGGTAAGCACTTAGAGTGACTTTCACGTTATTGGCAGAGCAGAAGAAAAGGTATAAGTATTAAACAAAAAATATGTTGCTTAACCTTGTGTTTCTTTGGAGCACTTGAATCTGTTGGAGCAGACTCTTGCGAAAGCAAGGGCACTTGCTCGGGGAAGCTATCCGTATCAAGGCTCTGAGAGCTATCCTTTGCAGGGCTCTTGATGGGAAGATGTTCATCTTTGATGTCAAAGGTACCTTCTGGAGGAGGTGCAAGCATATGAAATACATAGGTGTATACGACAATTGCGCCAACCTAAATACGTACATCAAATAGCTGAGATTTAGCATTTAGTGAAGAAAAATGAACTCATTCTATTAGCACAACTTAATTAAATATATGGAAGGATGAGCGAAAGTGCTTGAAGCCATTACCATATATCTCCTAGATCACTCAATCTAATAATTCTAGAACCAGTAATTATAAAGGGGAATTTAAAAGTGCATAAATACAAGGTTCTATCATCCTTTATTTTTTTCTGTCTCTCATCTCATGGTAATGAATCTGAAACAAATTTCACTTGGATTTGTATACAAATTTATGGCATAAAAACTTTTTTAGACATTGAACCATTAGCAGAAGAATTCAGAATTCATTTTCTCAAGATAACGTGTTCATCTAAGTAAAATACCAAAGGTTAGAGAGGATTTTGGAAGAAGTGAACCATTTTTTTGGAAATCCAAACTAGCTATAGAAGAGGTCATGATAGGACATCCAGAATGTATTACAAATTCTTGAAGGCTTTTTTTTTTTTTTTTGGGGGGGGGGGGTATTAAACATAGACCAATGACATCCAAGTGAGTTACAGTATCCTAGTGAGAATTAATTATCACTTGCCCATTGGCCAAATGAGATGTAGGCATTTCCATCTTGAGAGCATTTATCAGCGTCACCAAAAGGGTTTGCTTTATCTCGACATAAAGCAGCAATCAGAACAAGTGGCACATTCCCAATATTACCTGTATACAAAGTGAATCTCAGACGATGAGATCATAAAAGCACAAAGCAAAATCAACAAAAATAGAAGGGTTCACTTCTCAGTAAGTGGTGTACCAATTCCTATGTGTATGATTGTAAACTTGAAGAAGGGGTATGGTGGATTGACAATCAGTGCAATAATTAGACCTATAACTGAACCAGATATGGTGGCCAGAATAACATTAAAAGGAATAAACCACCTGCAAAAGAAGCAGAAGCTGTTTAATTGCCAAATCTGTCAAGTATCACCATTGCAAATCTAAAAGGGACCAAAATATCCAGAATCTTACCACTCAAACATTTTCTCTAGAGTGATTGCTGTTCCAAGTTGGGCAAATATCAGACATGGGAGCAAAAGGGAAAAGACCAGCTGCATGAAAAATGAAGTGAGCAGTCAATTAGTACCCATAGAGAAATGTCATGAATGATACTTGACACATATGGACAAATTTGCAGTACTTAATTGAAATCATAAGTGGGTTTTTTGCTCAGATTGAAGGCATTCCGAGACAGTAAAAAAAATTAAGACTAGCTGCAAACTAGCTTGCTTACCCCATTTAAAAGCTTCCTTCCACTTGCAGGTAAGATGTTAACATACTTGGAGGCCATAAGAAAACCCAAGAAGCACATGGTAAAAACTTTTGCGATGGGCAAAACAGCAATCCTAATTGTCCCAAGCAATGACTCTCCTCCCTTCTGGGGTTCCATTATAACCTCTGTCAAAAACCTTTCCGTCCTCTCCATTTCTGTCTAAACCACCTGCCCTGAAAGGAAATGAAATCCCGCAGAAATCCACCAAAAGTACTCCAATTCCCACCAGAAAATCGATTTGTCTACTTACAGTAGACAACAATTCACTCGTTCAGAAATAAAAACCTTCTCTACAGCTATGGAAGCGAACCTACTGATTAACAGCTTGAATCCAATCAAGTGAAAATTAGAAGGGCTTGATGAATTCCCAAGGCAGTATTCTTTTGCCAAACAGAAAAATCATAACCTGACTTCCAATCTGAAAAAAACAAAAACATGGAAATCTATGTTCAGCCAAAGAATCTCCTCAAGCTGATACCCTCATCAAAGTTTTTTAGTATACTTTTTTGTTTATTGTTTTTCTGGCTAGGAGTTTAGCCAAAAAAATCAAAGCAATTCAAGGGAGTAGTTAATTAATTAAATGGGAAATGGAAATAAAAAGCTGCAAAACAACCTCAGATTGTAACCAGTGCTGAAGAGCTTTTAATACTTGAAAAATCCGTAGATTTTAAGGATTTTAATTCATATAAAATACATGAATATATTCGAAGGATACTATAATATAAATTAAACCAACGGGGGTAGACTTCACGTTTAAGAAGAGAGAGGGGCGGGGGTGTGTGGACGGAAATATAGCTTTAAGGCGAGAGAAATTAAGCTTACAAACAACAACGGCGGATAAACAAAAGCAAGCGAAACTAGATTAGAATTGAATACAGAAATGAAAAAGCAGAAAAGTATTCGACGGTGGAAAGAACATTATGAGTGTGAAAGCATCAAACTTTAAGCGAATCAGAATTAAGGTCATTCAAGTATGCAAATAGTAATTATACCCACCCAACATGTACATTTAACAATGAGTCTGATGAATTGACAAAGATACAGAGAAAGAAGTGTTCACACAGGGGAAGAAATCAGGGAGAGATTGCCTACTTTCCAATCAAAGGTTTCTGCCTGGCAGGCGTTGGGTTGTTGAGGCTTCCAGAAGAGACTATTTATTTATATTCTTATTGGCATATAAAGGAGAAGGAGAGAATAGGAGGAGGAGGAGGACAAACATGAACCTGGACGATCACAAACAACAAATCCCAAACTGTAAACACCTACTTGTAACTCCCAAAACTAAAAATACTCCTCGTTTGCTTGCACCTGGACAAGGACAATCCCACCTGTACGTCTACTATTCGTAAATCTAAACTAAATTGGATCGGGTCGGATCCCTATATCAATTGTAGCCCTAGTCTAGCCTCTATGATTGATCCTCGGCGTTCCGTACCAAAGGAAAACTTCCACCCTTACGTTGGCGTCGTGTGTTGTGTGGGGACTCCACGAACCCTCCTCCCATGTTTTTACGCGGCAGATTTCTGTCGACATGCACCCTGCGATGGCTGCCTATTATTATATTTTTTATTAGTAATTAAAAATATGATATAATGTGAATAATTTTAAAAAAAATATTAATATCTATCCCAATAAATTTATTAAAATTTATTCTGTTTTATATTATAAATTATAAATAAGTAAGCAAGCAAGCAGATTCACATCAATTCCATCTGAATTTCTTAAAAAATCAGTTAGGAACTTCAATTTTATTTTCATATATTTTTTATTTTAATTTTATCATAAATTAATTTATTTGATTTTTTAAATTTATGACTTAATATAATTTTATTTTAGACATTGTTCATATATAATAGTATATGCATGTTGATATTTTTTGAAATCATGTATTTTGAAAAAAAAATTATCAATTTTTTTAAAAAAATAGTGGATAGAAATTAATTTCAAATTAAGTAATTTAAAAAAGAGAAAGAAAAAAAATATTATTTGATATAGATTGTAGTGATATCTATTTTTATGTTATATTGTTTTTTCAGACATGAATTATGACTAGTTGAAGAGTTTATGTTATCCTTCTCTCTTCTCCTGTGCCTCTGAAAAAAAAAATTATAACTAGTAAATCTATATATATATATATATATATATATATATATATATATATATATATATATATATATGCGTGTGTGTGTTTGTGATAAAATTGTATGAAAATGGATGAAATTGAGTTTTACACTTTATTAGAAATTTGTTTGACAATTTATGTCATGGGATTTATAGATAATGATAATTGTTATTATAACTAGAATTGAGAAATATTTAAAAAAATATTATTATTGTACTTAACAATAAAATACTATTAAAGAATCTCATACAATGAAGATCTTTTATTGGGAGGAGGGGGGAGGGGGGAACTAAAAAAAGGAAATGTTATTTGAATTTATAACGTGGATTTAAAATATAAATTTGATCAATCATAATTATTGAATAGATAATGAATTCTAATAAATGTTAAAATTTATAATAAAATCAATAACAATAATTAATTAAAATTTTATTTTAAATTTATATTTTAAGGACACGTAGCATTATTTCAAGAAAAAAGTCGCAGAGATATTGACATAAGAATGAGAAGTGGCGAAACGAATAATTATCCTCTAACTGTTTTTAACCAGTCTTGACTTTTTTGGTGTGTTTTTAACCACTTTATCTTCATTTTTTTTTCTCACTCTAATGTGCTATTAACTAATAGGAAAATTTTATGTAATCTAAATTTATAATTTAAATTTAAATCATAAATGAAGGGAGATTATTGGATGAGTGAGTCTCATTAATTTTTTTAAATGAGACTTACTAATCCAATAATTCTCTTTTACTTGAGATACAAATTTGAATTACAGATTTAAGATACATATATTGCTTCAACCTAATCCTACCAACCAAGTTTTAATACGAAATTTGTCCAAATGTAGTCCACGTGGGTAGTTGATTGAGGAGGCTAATGAATGATTGAAGTAATGAAGTATGATACTTACTGCAAAATTCATATTGTCGGTTTCATGAATCACCCAAACTTCCCGCATATGTCACGAGGTTAACCAACCCAATTTTTGACGGGGGTTTGTTGTGCTAGGCGATGCCTCCGGCTGCTACATGGTGGCGGGGTTGGTGGTGATTTTCTTTTTGAATTGTAATATTATGAGCAATATTATAGGCTTTATGATGATGATGTTATTTGAGAATTTAATGATGTGACTTTAATACAACAATTGAATTAGTTGTGAATTCTAATGTTAGATGGAACACACAATTAATCTAATAGTTGTACATAATTAGACCTTCAAATTAGGTACAAAAAATATTTTCTTATTACTATAACACCATTTTTGGTGTTGAGCACATACAATTATTGACATCTACCACTACCAACAACTACATTATTATCAACAAATAATGGGCTTCAACTGCTATTCTCTGATACACATCACAACCCTCCAACTTCATAATGCAATTCGATTTGTTTATTATAAGGAAAAGTGACTTAATAATCAGCCCACCCATTACATGCCTATAATCTAATCCACATATACGTATCTAGCATAATTCATTTACTATTGCTTGTGCATATTTGTGGCTTGTGATGTTCGGTGTCAATGATGATACGGTATTATTATTGTAATAAATAATTACTTTGCTTAGGATGCATATTAAAACATTCAAAATCAAAGGTCACTTTTTTTAAATCATTCCAAAGTGTTTTCCATTTTTGCTAAATGGATAGTAGGCGGAGATTAATGGCTTTGGGTGCCGAATATAGATGACACCCAATACGGGTGAAGATCCTCTATTATTTTAATCCCCGGCTTGATTCCTGTAATAAGAGACCAAAAACTTGGCAAATGCAAGGTCATGGTCCTCCTCGCTAGATGCTGGATCAGGAAGTTGAAGAGAATGTTCCGGGAAGGATCGTGCCTGGTATGTTATTTTCAATCACGAATGAATGTGGACAGACCATGTGCAGAACTACGCTAGAGTCATAATTCTCCCTTTGGCTTTTCTAGCCAGGGTATCATTGATCACTCCTATTATCATATCATCTCGATTCCCGTGTATATATATATTTTATTTTTTTTTGGGAAAAGGAAAAAAGGGTACAAAAAGAATTTAATGGTGTGAACTGAAAATTTAATATTGCTATCACATAAATTGCAAAACTTTATGGAAACCCTAATATTTTTGCAGAATTTATAGTTAAAAAATAGAGTTTTATTTTGCAAAATAATGAAAAAAGCTATTGAATTAATCGAACAAGCAAATACAAAAGGAATTCAAGTACAAATTACAAGGTGTATCGATCAAAAAAAAAATTGCACGTGTCGAATGGATCAGAAAAGACAGAGTTGCCCTACAAACCATTCGGGCTAAAATTATATATACTAGAAATCACATGATGATTCACTGGCTTCGTTTCGTAAGTCACATGCTTCATTGTCCATATCAAATCAAACATGTTTCATTGTCCATATCAAATCAAATATTTGAAAGACAAATCAAGTGAAAATGATGCATGCTGATATGCAATAATCCCGGAAACTTCATGGGTATTTCGAAACACAAACAAATCTTGTTAAGAGAGGTACTTATGGGTGAGTGGGCATCGCCTTAGATGGAATGAAGAATGTAAACCAAAATGACTAACATGAATGGATGGAATGAAAACCTAATTGCTTAATCTTTTTGGATCAAGATCGTTACTTCTTGTTGATGTAGAAAACTGGTTCACTGCTCATCGGTGATCTATTTCCCCTGTAAAAAAAAAAAAACAAAAACAAAAACAAAACAAAAAAATGATTGGATGCTATATCCTATATCAACTTGAACTTTTCTAGTAATTAGTTCGTAATGGCACCTACCTTCGAAGTAATCCTTTTCCATTTTCCTTAGTTACCAAGAATGACTGGTCTCGTGTATTTAAATTACTCAATGAGTCTACATGTTGAGTGCAAAATTCTATTTCTTGAAGTAGCTTTAACTTGTATTGTGATGAGACATTTTCAAAATACTCTAAGATGAAGACACGTGTTCTCGGTGTCACTAAATTCTTGTTACTATGATCATGACACGTACCCATCGGTTCACAAGTCTCTCTCCTCGGAGGTATTGGTTGTAGGGATCAATGACATCCAGTACGTTTACGCATCGACATGTATCCCTCGGTCGGGGATATGGTAAATCGGTCCCTATATGTACCTCCTTCTCGGCTCCGAGATGTACCTCCCCCTCGGTTCCGAGGTGTACTGTCCAGGATGGCATTCTCTGCTCTCGCAGAGGCTATTGATGTACAAGTTACTAGCTTAGGTTAGACTAGGTTAGTCATCATGACCTCGTCTTACACAATTGGTGTCAGAAGGCACAGGAAGACAGAAGACGCAGCCAATGGGGAAGGGGCACGTGGCATATTGTGTCACATCAGAGACAAAAAGACCAGATGTCCTTGCTGACACACAACTTGGGAAAGCAAGCATTTAATTAAGTCATTCCCTTGATGAGACAACATTTAATACGGTAAGACTCGGAAGAGAAAGACAATAAATGTCCCTGATACTGGGCATTTATTACTCTCTTGCCGAGAAGAGCTCGTTGAATATTCGACAGACCGATGACGAAGCATTGATTGCTCGGAGTCCCGACAATTAAGAGATAAGACATTCCTCATAGGAATCAGTGCGCACGTTGCCTGTACCTAATGATCACCTACTAACTACACTGACAACAATCATGAGTTTTTGAGGTATAAATACTCCTCGCAAAAGGCAAGACAGTACGCAACAAAAAACCTTTCCTAAAACATATACTCAGTGTTTTCTTCTTCCCCCCTCTCAAATACTGACTTGATCGTCGGAGGGGATACGCCGAAAAACACTGCGGCGCCTTTCTAACTTGTATTTCTTTGTTCCAGGAACCTTCCTCAGCCTTACTGGATCGCTCCGTTGATCCACGTGGGTATTCCATTATCGTTCCAGGTTACCACAGGACCTCACAGGCTGTTCCCAGTAGCAAGGTTGACCATTTGATTGACTGACTCGAGTTCACCACGGGAGAGATCTGTTCTCGTATTTATATTGTGTAAGATCCTGCACACACAATCTAGCGCCGTCTGTGGGAATCGACTAGTTCTCCTAGTTTCTTCTTTGTAAAGAACAATGACCATGGTGAATACTCGACAAAAAGGGAAAGATCCCCAACAAAAGAGTCTTGAATTATGAGCTCCATGTC